GGGGGAAGGAAGGGGGCTATGGAAAAACTCTGTAAAAGTGGAACAATAGAGGGCATAGAAAATGATGAGGTAACTCCAACAAAAAGTATTTTGCTGAACAAGCCGAAGCCTGGAATGTCAGCTGAGGCAGAAATAAGAGATGCACTGTGTGGCTGATAGAAGCTCCTGCAAACTTTTTTTAGTATGAAAATGCAAATCACTGACTCTCCCAGCATACCCTGTTTAGGGCTTTATGAGCCCAGTGACATTCCTTTGCCTCTCCCTTGAACTCTGTGTAGTTACAGATCTACCTCTGCCCAAAATAAATTAACTTCCCTAGTTATTTTTAAGTGACATCGCTGTAGGCGAAGACATGCCTGAAATCAGTCTGTCTTTAAATCACCATGCCTAATTTACACTGATGTACAGTTCTCAACAGATTTAAAGCCTGCATGACCCTAAACCCTAGCAAGACCCATGTATTTGTTAGAATTCTCTCTACAACTCAAAGGGAAGGTCTGAAAACTCACTGAAGTTTATAGTTACAACTGATACTTTGTGAAGAAGTGGTCTAAAAAAATACACCTTTCATAAAAACTAATGCAGGAGTATGTATCTTCACACTAACCAATTCAAACCTCCCCCCCCCAAAAAAAAAAAAACAAACAACGAACCCTCCAGAAAACAAGAAGGAAGGGACAAGCTAGTAGAACTTCTGTGACAAAAGGATGGAGAAGGTGGCCTCCTGAGATCTCTTCCAGACATGTTTTCAAAGTTTCCATGGGCCTAAGTCTAGTATTCTCTTGCAGTAGAAGAAAAACACAATACACCAGCTTGTGCCAAATGTGGGTTTAAAGAATATTTAGTCAGCATCTTTTCTTATGTTGAAATTACAATCCTATTAAAGCAGCTGGAATTATAGTTTAACAGGGAAATTGTATCATTAAAAATCAATTCTTCATGAAGAAGTCCTTGGAAATACCAGGCTATAACAGCCAGACCATGAACTCAGACTAAGCCAGGCCTTGATTTATGCTCTTGTGATTTCAAGACAACTTCTGAAATGCTATTGTACCATTTACTGAAACAAATAAAGTGACTGACGGTGGAATTATGAAAAAGCATGGCTGGATGGTACAAAACTACATCAGATAATGTTATAATCTGTGGATTCAGAATTGTAGACTCGTAAAAGGAAACTTGCCACATTGTTGTGGGGTAAGGAAGCGTTTCGATAGTCAGAAAAAAGCAGAGCAGAGCACAATATCACCCTTTCTGCCTTGGGATTTCATTCTCACCGATTCTTTTGTTTGTGTGTTTGTTTTTGCTATTTCAGGTGCAGGTCTCAGCGTCAGCGATAATGAATCTTGTCATGGCAGCCAGGATGGAGGCAGCATGGCTAACTCCCAAATTGTAGAGCTTAGAAGAATACCCATAGCAGACACTCACCTCTAACTCCACAGCTTGCTTGAGATTTTTTTGTTCTTTTTGTGGGGTTTTTTTGTTGTTGTTTTTTGTTGTTTTGTTTTTTAATTCAAGCCTCAGTATTTTTATATTTGTACTTCCTTTTGCACTAAAACACTATATGAAACTGTAGTAGAATGCTGTGAGCTTTACTGAACGTTTAACAAGGAATGTTTGCTTGGGGTTTTGTATATCAGAAAATAAACTGTAAATTTTTTACAGTGGCTGAGCATCAATAGATACCATGGCAATCGGCCTAGATTTGTATCTTGTAGCTAGATGACATATTTCACAAACTGTAGCTTTTTTAATTAACCTGTATGTGTAACACTGATTAATAAAAACGATAGAGTCCGTTTGATACAAACAAGTCTGTTATTTCTGCTCGCTGCTTATGGAGCTAGAAGATGATGCAGACATCCTGTTGGGCAGGAGAGCTTTTCAATTATACTGTAGTTCCCTAAACTGTACTCTCCTCACTTGTTTTAGGGTACCCAAATCTGTGACCTTTACAAATTCACACACAGACGTCATCTTGAGCCAGAAAGCTTGAAATGTAAATCGTGACATGATAAAACAGGCAATGATCTGAAACAGACGCAATGGAGGGGAGATGAAGGACAAGAGCAAAGCCACTGACATCTGTTGACTGCGTTACCTTGCTGATTTCATAGTAGTAACCTCTCTTCTCACACTCAGAAATAAGGGGGAATTCAAAAGAGTTGAATTTTCTGTTAATATCAGTGGGTGCTACAGGATATCCCTGTTCTGACTGAAGCATTTAAGTATTGCATTACAAACAGAGCCAGATCAGTAATCTGGGGTCCTAAATGATCAAGAAAATTTCCTCCCTTGGTAAAAAAAAAAAAATAAAATAAAATAAAAAAAAAATTAGAGGAAGTATTTCAGAACAGAAAGGGGGGAGGCAGGCTGATCTTGTAGGAATCATTAACTCTGCTTCTGCACAGACACTCTGATAGAAAAACACATTAAAGTTCCTTTTCCTCTGAACATTTCTGAGCCTAGCACAGAAATATAGTAAATGAGAATGCAAGCCTTTCATACCTTCTTCAGGAACTTGCCTAAAGGCTTAATGCTGGGAAAGCTCTGAGCAACAACCTCTCCCTTTAAAAGAAAACTTTTCTTATGGAAATCTTTCCGTGAAATTTGCTGTAGGGATGCACAGATTTTACTGTATCTAATGACGTGTTGAGCTGAAAAGAAAACCAAACAAACCCCGTTTCTGTGTCCCAGTTCTGTAATATCTGGTAGGACTGCACAGCTTACACTTATCACTCATATCCAAAGCAGATGTAATCTTTAAGGTCTAATGCAAAACCATTCACAGACACAGGAAATTATTTTTAGGCAGCAAAGCCCTTAAACAAGTGCTTTTTAAGTACACATTTGAACTGATGGGAAACGAGTGTATGTATCTTTAGTACATGTTCAGCAGCATCGAGTCTTAAATTTCTGACTCCCAGGAATTTTGTTGACTCTGTTTATGCCGGTCACACTGTGCAGCAAGCAAGGCCAAGTCTTTGAGGTCAATGGCAAGACTTAGTGGGGTGGATGAGGGTGGAGGGAGAAATGACCCTTGTTTCACATATACAGAAGCACAGGGCAGTCAGGGAGACCCACAACCCTGTGCAGAAGGGGCAGCCTTTAAAATTGTGTGCAGTGCATCCCTAGTAGGCAACTTTATACAAGAGCGAGCCATCTAAGCCTGTTTTCTAAATCCCTTTTCTGCCCATAACTACACCTGCTGAAAAGGGATTTTCTGGGCACTTGAATGAACTGCAAGTATCATCAAAATAAGTCTCTTATTTGGGAGTTAAAATTAGTTTTGGACATTTTGCAATACAGTACTTTTTTTTTTTCTTTTTTTTTATTATTATTTTATTCCTTTCTCCCTGAATCAACTCATAACTGAGATGAGCATTGTCCATTGTTGATACTTCTCATCTACCCACTAAAGCCCTAACGCAAAGCCTGGCCTTGCAGAACGATTGCAACACTTGCTCGGTTGTGAGAGAGCCAGGGCTGTAACAGATGTTTCATTACTCGTGGTACATGCTACTACATGCTGTGAGAAAGCTTATAAAAGAAGGATGTTTGTTTGATTTTGACTCACCACCATAAATGTTAATACTTTGTGTCACTTCAACTTGTTGCACAACTGGCCTGGTTAGGGATTTACTGTAAATGCATCAGCATTTTCAGAGCAGATCAGTAGGATGAGAGCCACTGCCAGCATTTTTTGAATTTTAAATCTCTAGGTGGTGCTCACATGGTTTAAGATCAGGAGATTAATTTTGTTATTGTTTTAAAATACCCCCCCCCTTTTTTTTTTTTTTTTTTTTTTAAGATAATATTATTTCTGTAGGAAATTCAGTGTTTTAATAGCACGGGTCTCTCTGAGCTCCATTTTCCTGCTCCTTGAGCAGGCGAGGGCTGACAGGGAAGCAGGGCAGCTGTGTGCTCTGACTCAGATGTGCCCAACAGCCACACCTGGGCAGGAGAACTACCTTTATGGTTGGCTTGACTTCACCTGACCAGACTGAATGCCTCCCATCATTCCCTGATCTCAAGCGTTATTTAAAATTTGATAGAGAATATAAACGTTTCTTTGTTCTTATGAGCCAACTGAATCCACGGGTAGATAACGTCCAAGCCAAGTACTGTTACCACAGGGCCTGACATGCTATGGTGACTAACTCACTCAACCCTTTGCTTTGCTCCTGCATAGTGAAGAACACCAGGACATTTGCTGCCTTTGCTTTTTTTCCCCTATAAAAGAAGCCATCCTTTCTCCACAAGAGGTCATTCTCCATGTTTTGAGGGGTAGAAGGAGCTGTGGTTAATATGGATGTAAAATTTTATAGTTCACTGTGTGAAGGAGGCACCTTTTCCAGACAAGCTTCACCTAAAGCCACTTAAATATATATGTAGGTCAGATGAATGAATGGATGTGTTTCAGGAGTTTATCACCACTCATACACCAACACAAGTAAATTCACTTTTAAAAAAGATGTCTGAATATATTTCACATTCAAGTACGTAAGTGATGAAAAATGCTGAGTTCAACAGACATGTTTCAGGTGATGTTTTATAGAGAGCCACTGTGGAAGATTCTGATTTCATTTTTCTTGGTACATGTCCAAAATAAGTCAATTTGTGTCAGGGACCTGAAAATTCAGATTTTTTTTCTGTTCTTTAGAACCTAGTCGAGAGCCCCAATACATCCATGTTCTGTCTCTATCATGCAAATGCTTAGTACTCCAGTATCCTACATCCAAAGTCATCATCCTGCTGAGAAGTGCACGGTGAGAGCTTTGATCTGCAAAAGATTAAACTGCATTGAGGGCTTTACAGCAATAAAGTGCCTATGTGCTCGACATAAATTGACTGATCATGCAGAGGTCTGACTAGAAAATTGCTTGAGTTCAGGCATATCCTGCCTTCAGACACATTTCACTATAGTTCAGCCTATACTGTGGATCTTGAGCTACTATTGTAGCTTCTGCTTCAAAACAACGCTGCTGCAAAACAGTAAGAAATCAGAATGTGTGCCCAGTTTGCTGGCAGCAGAATTTGCTCCTGTGTTACTTCTACTGGCAGTAACATGTAGTGAGAATAATAGCACATTGCAAGTTCAGGTTCGTCTGTCCAATTCAATATGTTATTTTCACAAAAAATTATAAAAGAAATAATTTCCATTTTTCAGTTTGTTGTTCAAAATCATGTTCTACGCAACAAATACGTTGAAGTAATTACAATGTAGTACTCTTGTATGCAATAAATACGGGGAAATAATTGTGATGTAACACTTAAGCATTACAGAATTATGTACCCTGGACTAATGATGTGCTGAAGCTAAGAAGACAGCTGTATAAACTGGCCTAAATAGTAGCCCCAAAACTTTAAGAATAGTTTTGCTTAGTCGGTTGAGTTTTAACCAAAGTTGTGTTCATGGTAGAGACAGCATTTTTACAAACAGGAAAGATTTCGGGATAATTATTATTGCCTTTTTCTCTGTTGTTAATGCATTTCAACATTTTTTTTTCTTTCTGTGCAAACCGAAAGACTAATGCAGTATCTATCTGGTCCTGCCATCCTGCTCAGTAACCCCAGGAAGGTGAACACTTTGCTCTTCCTGGAGGTGGTGGTTCTACTCACAGGATTATTCTGACAATGGCTCGTACTACAGATTTGCCTGGATATCCAGAGAAGAGAAATGTATTTTGGGAACTGTGAGCACAGAGCTTGAGAGCACAGATTTAATAACCCTGACACCACTCCCTGGCTAAAACCTACAGCTTGGAGATGGCCCCAGGAATGTCTCAACAATGACCGGTGCCAAAAGCTCAGGGAAGGGTTTCTGCTGAAGCTGTCAGGATTTTCCCCAACTCAGCAGGTAGACTTTGAAGACAGTGTAAGTCACCCCTGTGCTGTAGTACCCCTGATCTGAGCACACAGTGATTTTATCCTCTAGATTCCAAAAGCTGTCATCTTCAGTGTGGCTCTGCTCTTCAGGCAGGGCAAACAGCATCTTGTGATGGCTCAAAGTATATGTGAAACACAAGTATGTGTCAGTGTGTACACACAGACAGAAAATAATTATGGGATATAAGAATTTAACATCATAAAACTAAATTCAGTTTCAATCTGGAAGCTAAAACACTGCGGTCCAGGTTATGAAACAGGTTCCCCTGGAAACTTCTTGGCTCCTGCTTTGCAATTCCTGAACTGAAGTTAAGCGTGTGATTTCCCAGTTTCCTAACTGGAAAGAGTTACGCATCCAGGCATGGGGTATACAGTTGCCAGTAGGGATGCAAGAAAAGGGGATGTCTGAAATCTCCCTTTGCTCTCAGCCTCCCGCAGGGCACAAGCATGTGCTGCACCACCAGCATCCCCTCGATCCAGGACCCAACGTGGTGCTGCTGCCTCAGATCTGACCGTTCCCCAGGGTGGGGAAGCAGAGAAGAAAATACAAAGACCTTCCCATCTGGCAAAGACCAGACACATTTCTGCTCCACATGCACACAGGACCGTATTTTATTTTGCTTTGAGAGATCAACACGTCCTGGAGGTTGGGGCAGGGCAAGAGGAAAAGAAAGGGCAAACAAACTTTTGACCTCACTTGAAATCCTTGCTGTGTCCTGATAAAGGGAGATAGCGAGTTGTTCCTCACCAAGTGTGCACCTGTGGCCCTTCCTGCAGGATGATAAAATGGCCCACCCCACCTCCTCTGATGCAGCACACAGGCAATATCTGCATTACCAACTCAAACGGCACTTGTTTTCTGGTGCTTCAGCCCCAAAACGAGCTCTGTTTGCATCTGATCTCCACGACACAATATTCTTC